AATTGACTTGAATTTTTGATTTTTGTGAATTTGGTTAATAATGACAAACTGTCCCTATTTACCCCAAAAAATTTAAAAACTCAGGGTAAATGGAGACAGCTTGTCATTATTAACCAAATTTACAAAAATGAAAAATTCAAGTGAATTTCTGTTATAGGAGTCATAAGGAATAAGAAAAAAATTTGGTATGATTTTTAAGTCTGTTTTCTTTGAAATGCGGGAGAAAATACTGAAACAGTTTTTGATTTTGATTTTCAAGTTTTTATGCATTGAGGGATAATTTTTTTTATCTTGCTGAAAATTGTCAAGATAAAAGCTTAACAATACTCAAAACCTCTTGCAGGTGATCTGAGGTTAAAATATTGACGTTGAACTTAATTTTAAAACTATAAATTAAGCTCCAAAACACCTCTTGTCCTCATTTACCCCAACTGACTCTAGTAATATTAATATATCAATCCCTAATATTTGTAAATTTAGGTAGGTATTAAAATTTGTTAAATTCAATAATATTTTTAATAATTTATTAAAATTTATTTGAATTTTATAATTACACTATTCTAAAAGTAATTTTGTATAACTGTTTAACACAATGTTTCTCAATGGATAATGTTCTCTAATGAAACTAAAAGTTAATTCGGATTCAGAGACTACGTTCGATACATATATACACACACACATTGAATTATTTAATGAAAAGTAACCATTTATTCAAATTGCTCTAATAAATCTAATAATATACCATCAACCGGGGCTATTATGGAATAAAAATTGCAATTTTTTTGTTCTGCTTAACAAAAATTCTAATCACAGAATTTAATGCAAAGAAATTTTTTCGTTTATTTTAAAATTTTTTTTTGATTTCTAAAACAGAATTTAATAATAAAATTATAGCCCTAATAACACAAGATATCATGGGATATATTGATAATATCCCGCAGATATCCTAGGGATGTCCTATGGATATCAAAAGGATCTCTTAAGGATATCCAAAAAAATCGGCGGTTTGGATATCCTTTGGATATCCCATGGATATCTGAGGATATCCACAGGGTATCTTCTGGATATCTCTATAGACTTTCATAAATGTCCTTCAGATATCCCATAGATATCGTCAGGATATCCCACAGATATCATCAGAATATCCCATAGATATCGTCAGGATATCCCACAGATATCGTCAGGATATCCCACAGATATTTTCAGGATATTCTCAGTATATCTTCTGGATGTCAAGAAGATTATTATTATTATTATTCAAATGTAAAATGGCAGATATAGTACGGAGGTGCCCTGGATGCAGACACATGTAGAAACATAAAGATATTTGACCACCGTACTATATCTGCCATTTTACATTTAAATAATCTGACGTTAAATTCGTAATCAGCGACTCCAAAAAAACCCCATGATACCAATTTTTGTAAAAATCCAACTACTTTTTAAAAATTTGTCCGCCATATTGGATCCGCCATTTTGAATTTGAATAATCTGAAGATAAATTTGTAATCAACGACTCCCAAAACCCCTAGATACCAATTTTCGTAAAAATCCAACTACTTTTTAAAAATTCGTCCGCCATATTGGATCCGCCATTTTGAATTTTATAAATCTGACGTTAAATTCGTAATCAGCAACCCCAAAAATCCCCAAGTAACAAGATTCAAGCAAATCTGCCATTATTTAAAAAATTTCTCCTGTCATTTAAAATCAGCTGTTTTTTGAGGTTATGTCAAAATCCTGACGTGATGGAGCTGAACGGACTTCAGATTCGTGTTCAGCGCATCAAAATACATCAAGAAATGGTGGTCTCATTCCCCGGCCCGGGTACTTTTGTTTTTGTGTGGCTGTGTAACGAATAACTATTAATATTAATTATACATTAAGTGCATGAGTTTATTTAAAAACTTTGAAAAATGCATGCATTTCAAATCTTCATTTAAAATAAATTAGAAGCTCATAAGATTTTTGTTTTTATTATATTATTATTCATTATATTAGCTTAACAATTTTAACCTTTAAAAATATATGTTGAGATATTAAATATCCCGTGAATATCCTAAGAATATCCCACGGACATCCTGAGGATATCCCATGGATATCCTGCGATATAATAGCCAATAGATATTTTGTGGATGTTTTAGGGATATCCTATGGATGTCCTGTTGATGTCCCACAGACCGGCGGTTTGGATATCCTAGGGATATCCTATGGATATTCCAAGATATCCTGGGGACCATTCTAGGATATCGACCATTGATATGGATATCCTAGAGATATCCTAGGGATATCCTTTTGTTATGAGGGAGTTACTTTGTTGTAAAAATGTCACACTACAATTAATTTTAATATTTCGAAATGAATATTTTACAAATTAAAAACTAGCTTGTAAATTACAATTTATAATCTGCGGTCAAGTTTCATATTAAAAATAGTTATAGTAATTTTTTCAGATTTACAGTACTGCTGATCAAACGTCAAAACTTGATCATAACCTAAAAAAAATTAAAATCAATTTTTCCAATACCAACGTATCATAAAATTTAAACTTGTTTAGTGTCTCATTGTTGAGCATTAAGCAATTACGAGAAATTATTTAAATAAAATTTGTTTATGAATCTTTTAAAAATTTGAAGAATTGTAATTGTAGAATAATTGTAGATTCTAGAATCTAAGTAAACGATATAGTACACCCAGAAAAGATTTCTTTAAAACAAAGAAATCGTTTTCTTAAAATCACTTTTTGAATCAACGATGAAATTTATTTGAATTAAAAAATTTTCTTTGCTTTTACAACGAAAAAGAGATTTTCAAGTGTTTTGAATTAAAGAGATTTTTTCTTTTAATATGATATTTTTAACTTAAAGAGAAATTTTTTTTTTAATCAAAGAAATATTTCTTTCTAACTTAAGTACGTTGAGTTATCAAGACTGCGTTAGCGCAAACTACCTAAATTCCTAAACAGCTGTGTGTGCCTCATGGCATATATTTTAATCAAAATACAAATGTATAGCTCAAAATATATTTTTCATTTAAAGAAATTTGTGCATTAAAATAAAAATTTATTTCTTTGATTTAAATAAAAAATTTCGTGAAATCAAAGAATTACTTTTCTTGCGATTCAAGAAACAAAAAGTAAAGAAATAATTTCTTTAAATTAAAGAAATTTTACTTTGGCCAATTTCTTTGATTCAAAGCAAATATTTTATTTGAAACAAAAAATCTTTTTTCTGGGTGTAAGTATACTTTTTATTAAAACTGTCATACCTACATATATAAAAATTGTATTTGAAGCAAAAAGTTATTTTGCTATATTAAAAAACAGATTTTTTTTCAATTTTCTTTGTAAATAATGAATCAATGTGGCTAAAATATTCTTATATTAAGCACGACAAAAAATCTTTACCTTAGAACAGCGATAAGTTACACTAGAGCAGCTATATATTTTACTACTATTTTATTTTTTTACTATTTTATAAAATAGCGAAAGTTTTCGCTATTTTAGAGAAACGTATCGCTGTTCCAGATAAAGATTTTTTTTCCGTGAGCGATATATTTCTCTAGAATAGAGAAAACTTTTGCTGTTTTAGAGAAAAGTATCGCTGTTCCAGGTAAACATTTTTTTTCCGTGAGCGATATATTTCTCTAGAATAGAGAAAACTTTTGTTGTTTTAGAGAAAAGTATCGCTGTTCCAGGTAAACATTTTTTTCCGTGAGCGATATATTTCTCTAGAATAGAGAAAACTTTCGCTGTTTTAGAGAAAAGTATCGCTGTTCCAGGTAAACATTTTTTTTTCCGTGAATAAATATTCTTTGTTTTAATTTAAAAATATAATAGTTAGGGGATGATAATGATAAGCGAAATAATAATCTTTGTTCTATAATATCTCTTAAACAGTAATAGTTACGGCTTTCATCTTTTCACCATAGATGGCTCTGGGGGCCAGCATAAAAAGTCTAGGGTTTAGTGTACATATGCTTTAAAGCTCACTTTAATTGTGCTAAATATTTTTTTTGGTCATATATTAAATTTTATAAATTACTATCAGTTTATTATTATAATTCTTATTATTTTTTGTAATAATTCTAGTTTTTAATAATTTATATTATTACTGAATTTTTATTAATTTGTTCTGAAACATTGTTCTAGATTTGTTATAATACAGAATCATTTATGATTTTATTCTTCCAGGGGAAAGAAAATTATTTTGTAATCTGTTACTATGTAGTTCTAGAACTACTTTGTATTCTAGAATTTTTTTTTTAAAGCAATAGAAAATTAATCGTAACTTTTGTAAGCAAAAATAACAGAAATTACTAATAAAATATATCCCATTTATTTTATTAAATTTTTTAAAATTGGAAGATAAATTAAAGTTTCATGTTCCCAAACCTTAATAGAAAAATTCAAAATTTTTTATTAAAATGATACTGATACTCCAAATTATATTGAAAATTTTATTGCAAATAAAAAATCAATTGCGTGTAAGAAAATATCTACAATAATTTAAGATAAATTCTGTCTTTGTTTTTTTTTTGCAGTATATAACGAATAGTTAATATATTTTTTGCATTTAATTTCATAGATATATATTGCATCCCAATTTAGAAATACGATAATTTTTTTTTATTACATTTATTAACTGTTATTCGTTAAGATATTATTCACTGTGGTAAACAAAATGTCTGCTTCATGACCCAGCTACATTGGTTCAGTTCTTTCTCATCAATCTCTTGCCAACAATGTTATATCTTTTTCAAAAGAGGGAATTTTTTTTTTTCTAATATTAGTAATTGTAATTTTACATGAATATAATTAAAGAGTCGAATATATTTAAAAATTAGTTCTCTTGGAATTTAGAGCATAATAGAAATCAGGTCGACTTCCAGGTGGACAGGCACAAACACAGGTGAAGGATGATATGCGTACGTAGGTTTGTTCGCTAAGGGATACATACACATTTTCACAATGAAACTACAAACACCAAAGAGGAACTCACCTCTAGAGGGAGGCAGGGGTTGGATACGGCCATGTTCCTACATGCGTTCGAGCTTCTGCCCTGTTAGCAAACTCCAGTTAACACCAGCACTATATACCACTTTTTTTTTTTTTTTTTTTTTTTTTATTTAAGTGATAAAACTAATAATCACTGCACTCCTTGAATAAAACTCAGCTATTGGTTGCTTTATGATAAAATTTATGCATTCACACCACAAATTATGCCTTCCACTTTTTAGCCACTACTGATCCACCGCAATAAGAAACCATGAACCACATATATAAGTTTCGATTGGTGCGCGGAGCACTGTGTAGTAAAAATAAAAAAACGTTTTTCTATTATCAAAATTAACTTTCTACCTACACTGAGCATGAAGCTCGTATCCACAGCCGGACGATCGCTTGACTACGTTCCCTTCTGTACACCCCTCACAGTGTGCCCGCAATAGTGCGCGCGCTTAATCCACCCTGCCACCCTCTATATAAGCTTAGTCTGTCCTTATTTCTATTTAGGATCTCTGTCACACTTTTCCACCCTACGAAAACCGCGTGATTCTCTCTCACCCTCCCTTTACGTTTGCGCTCTATCATCAAAAATCCAGGATTCCAATCAGAAATTGACGACTGACCTGTATTAGACTATAGCCCAATTTTGTTGTAAGAGAGACGACAATTTAATTTCAATATAATCACTTACTATATATACTAATACCAGTTTTTCAATGTACTTTCTCGACTTCAAATCTTGTTTTTCTATGTCTTCTTTTATTTTTATTTTCTTTCTGTTTAATAGCAAAAGTAAATTTTTTTTTTTTTTTTTTTTACCAAAACAAAATAATTGAAAAAGATCTCAGAATCATTATGGATCAGTGAAATTATATTATTAAGAAAATAAATTCTATTGTTTTTCTAAAAATAATTATTCACAAGAAGAAAAAATGTTAATTGATTTAGCTATTTCAGTGAATTTTAATATTGCTAATATATAATAGCAATTTTACCCTCACAGCACCAGATATCCTAGGATATTCCAAAAACATCCCTTGGATATCCTAAGGATACTTTAAGGATATCCAAAGTAGCGGCGGTTAGGATATCCTAGGGATATCTAAGGATGTCCCTAGGACGTCCCAGGGATATCCTAATCATTTCCCCGGATATTATTAGGATATCCTGTGAACGTCCCGAAGATATCCTATGGATATCCTTAGAACGTCCCAAGGATATCCTCAGGACGTCCTAAGGATATCCCAAGGACATCCCTGGAATAATTAGGAATGTCCTTAGGACGTCCTAAGGATATCCACAGTATGTCTATATTATCTTAAGGGTTAGAATATCCTTGAGTCGTTCCAAAAATGTCATTTTCATTCGGTCAGTCCCATAAAAAACGAATTCAAAGTGTCGAAAATCGAATTTTTGGCTTAAATATATGCTCTAATTATCAACTTTAAGGCCCAGATTTGAAAGATGATTGACAATCACGGGAAACCTATTTGTATCAAAGAATCGCTATCTCAAATAGTCAAAATTTGAATTATAATGATATCCTAGGGAGATCTTAGCGATATTTCTAGAATATTTTAACGATATACCAAGTTTATCCCCACGATATCACTAGGATATCCCAGAATATCCTCAGTATATCCCAGAATATCCTCAGTATATCCCCAGTATATCCCAAAAATATCCTACGTAACAGTGGTTTGGACGTTCTGAGGATATCCTCAGGATATCCTAGGATATCCTATGGACGTTTTCAAGATATCCTACATTAGTTTAGGATATCCTGAGGATATGCTCAGGATATCCTTTTATTGTGAGGCTATTAGCTATATTTATTAGCTTGCCATAAGGTTGCCGAGCAAACTTACATGGCAAGCTTGCTGCAACCTTCTGTGCTGATTGGCAAGGTTATTTGGCAACCTTGCATCAACCTTGCGACAAGCTTACCGTGCAAGCTTACTGAGCAATCTTGCGATAATCTTACTGTGTAATATTGCAGTAACCATAAACTGCAATCTTTTGGATTTTTTCCCACGGTGCGCCAGAAGGTGATTTAAATAAAAATGAATTGTAACTTAAAAATTCTTTTTGATTATGATTCTTAGATGAATAAAAAACATTTCTCAATAGTTTTTAAAATCAGATTACGTGCCAGATTTAAAAAAAAATTAGTTTTTATATAAAAGACAGTAATTTTATGGGAAATCAGAATTTATTTAATCTAATAAATACTGTAATAAATGATAAAATAATTACTTATTTTTAATTTTACATATAAATAATTATATTGCTGTAGTGTTTGTATCCGATTTTAAAAAATTAAATTATAATGTTAAAAGAACTATTTTAAGAGGGACAAAATTTATTTAAGAGAGTCGAATGGTCTCTGAAATTCTTTGGAAAGAAGAGACCTTTAATTATCGCCCTATAAAAACGGCACTAAACGTGAAAATGATAAAATTAATTAATTAATTTTAAAATACTTTCTTCTTGAAAGACGGACACTTTTTTACAAAAGCAGCTAGAGATTCTTATCTTATATAAATTTCCTAAATCCGAAAGATTATGCGAATCCATACAAAAACACGATTGCAAAACGAAAAGTGATATAATGACAGGTTCATTACCTCCTGCCGCCGTTAGATGGCAATAGCATGCAGGGCGCACAAAGTCGAAGCTGTTATTAGACTACTTTTCTACTTTTTGTTTTGCAACCATGTTTTTCTATGGATTCGTACCGTCTTTTGGATTTAGGAAATTTATAAGATGAGGATTTTGGCTGATTTTGTTAAAAGTGTTCGTGTTTCGAGAAAAAAGTATTTTAAAATCAATACTATTTCACGTTGAGAGCGATAATTAAAACTCTCTTCTTGCTAAAGAATTTCAGATACCGTTCGACACGGTATAGAAATGATATGCTATATGAACCCGGCGTAGCTGATTACAGGTAACTTTTAAATTAATTATTATTAATCACGACCAAGCTGCTAAGAAAACTTTAAATGCGTTTTTCTCAAAACTAAATTTGAGAAATCGGTGGGCACTCTAGCTGCCACAAATTTCAATCGATCCTCTTAGTTTTTTTTTATTTTGTTTCTGATATAATTATCTAGAGGAATACGTACAGATTTTTCAAAATATGAATATTTAAATTTTCTAGACAACATTAAGTAACGAAATTTTTTCAAAATATGAATATTTAAATTTTCTAGACAACATTAAGTAACGAAATTTTGGCAAAAGAGTAGTATAATACCCTACTGTATTTTAATTTTCTTAAAAAAAAAGTTCTATTCTTCAATAAAAATTGTTGAAAAAGCGTATTTTTTGGACGGGTCAAAGTGGTGTAACCCCTTAATAACTATATGAAATCAATAAAAGACAAAATTTAAACAATTAAGAAATTAAATATATTGAAGAATATAGTGGTTATATTTTATTTAATTGCAATAAATTATCCCTTTAAAGCATACATTTTTCTTTAACAGGAATTTATCTTTGAAGTGCATTATAGGGGGTTTTGAGGGTCGCTGATTACGAATCCGAAGCCAGATTTAAAAAATTTTCAACATTCAAAATGGCGGATTCAATATGGCGGACAATTTTTTTTTAAATTGATCATATCCGCTCGAAACTGGTTACTCAGAGGTTTTCGAGGTCGCTGATTACGAATCCGATGTCAGTTTTTCAAAATTTAAAATGGCGGATCCAATATAGCGGACAATTTTGTTAAAATTGATCACACACACAAAAGCACCATTTTGAATTATAAAAATCCAAAGTCATATTGATAAACAGCGACATCAAAAACATCGTAGTAACAAGTTTCAAGCAAATCCGATCAATTTTTCATTTTGTCATCCGCCATTTTGAATTTTGAAAATCCAACGTCATATTCGTAATAAGCGATCTCAAAAACCCCCGAATAACAAGTTTTAAGCAAATCCGATCAATTCTTCATTTTGTCATCCGCCATATTGGATCCGCCATTTTGAATTTTGATAATCCAACATCATATTCGTAACGAGCGACCCAAAAACCCTCTGAGTAACAAGTTTCAAGCCATTCCTATAAATTTTTCATTTTGTCATCCGCCATATTGGATCCGCCATTTTGAATTTTGAAAATCTAACGTCATATTCGTAATCAGCGCCTCCATAAACCCACGAGTTACATGTTTCAAGGAAATCCGATCAATTTTTCATTTTGTCATCCGCCATATTGAATCTGCCATTTTGAATTTTGAAAATCTGATGCCAGATTCGTAATCAGCGACCCCGAAAACTTTATAGACATTATTGTTAGGTTATTTTCTATTGTTGTTTAGTCACAATTACATTTAATGTAAAAAAACGCTATTTTTAAACTTAATTTGTTTATAACATTTATTTTATTTATAAAAAACACTTTTTTAATGTAGTTATATTGTAGTAGATATTCTAAAATATATTTTAAATACATTTTGTTACTGAAATGTGTAAAATAGTGGCTGAAGTATTCAAAAAAATGCAAGAAAAAAAGTGACACTCAAGAGTGTCACTATGCCGCAAAGGGTTAAATAAACAAATTTAAAATTAATTTAATTAAAAATAAAAAATTGTTGTAATTTAAAATAATTTAGTAAATATAATTATTTTTAAGTTAATAGAACAATCACAATAAATGAAAATCTAAAACAATTCTAGTTTTTAAATATTTTCGATTTTTATAATTATAACAGTAATAATAATAATAAATTTCTTTAATTTAATTAATTTTTTTTGTTTATTTTATTGAGTGACTGCACCCTAATTTTTCAACATTAGAATTTTAGCGCGCTAAGTTTGTCTGTGAAATCCCTTTCACTCTTTTCGAATTTATCCTGTGATCCCCCGAGTTTATAGCAAAGTGCGCAGAAGCAGGTGGGCTGAGTTGCGCGCGACTAGGGTACGTTGAAGTGACGGCGAAGTGATTGATGAGAGCTAGGGTATAATTCGCGGAGCACAAATCTCTTAAAGCCATTTCTTTTCACATGTGAAAAAGAGTAGTTCTACGGCACGGAGGAGAGTTTTTGCTTCAAAAGATTTTTTTTCGTGTATATTTTTGATTTTGGTATTTGTCTTTTTTTATTTCAAGTTTTTTTTTTCTTCTATTTCAGGTGTTTATTTTCAGGTTTTTATTCTTTTTTTAACTTATTTTTTTCAATTCAGGTTTTTGGAATAGTTTTTAAAAATTGCCGAAAAATCGCGACAACGAATAAAAATTGAGGAATATAATGAAGTATGCCAAGAGTCTGATAACTTTATTAAAATTGCTGAACGTCAACTCATCTTTACGATGACAATGATTGAAGATGAGAAAATTATTCGAGTAACAAAACAAGTGTCAGCGCTATAATAATGTATTCAGAAAATTTTTACGTCTAAGCAGAGTTGCCAATGACCCTACCTAAATGCAACTACGCTTGCGCTACGA